CCTTCAGAAACATCACGAAATGTACCATATTAACTTATAACCAATATCATCAAATTGTTTACACACAGTAATCTTAGTCCATGTAACTCATTGAATTTGAAGAAATTATTTAAAAATATCTTAGAAACCATTTTTCTTTCCAGATTGTTTCTCTTTTAGAAAACCTTTTTTTTCTGAACATAAAGTCAAAGGGGAAATGGATGAAAATGAAACTTTAATTTTAATCTTAGATCTCTGTAGGAACCACTAATGGGTTATTGATGCTGATGCTTTACTGTGCTCTCAATAACCCCAGAAATATTAGAAAAGGTTTTGGTTGAAATAAATCTGGCTTTCATTAGAATGGGACATTTATAAAAAAGCAGGAAATAGAGGAAAAGTGTCCCCCAAAGCAAAATTTATTCAATAAAGTGTTACTGAGATATAAATGATTTCAACAAGTCCTTGAATGTACACATGTACATGCAGTCACAACTGCACACACATGCACGCACACACGCACACCCACACACACACACACACACACACACACACACACACACACACACACACACAGCAGGAATGTACATCAAGGGTCATTTTACTTTTCCTGCCTTTAGCCTTTCCTTTTTGTTTACTCCTTCCATACTCTGCTTCTCCTCCATCTTTCTTCCTCCGTCGCTCTCTCAATCTCTCCTTCTGTCTTTCCTCTCTGTGAAGGTCATGCAATTGATTTTCCTCTGTCTATTCATTTTTCAAGACTGGCTTTGAAACGTGGGAAGCAGACAAAAGCCACTCTGGCCCCTCCTCTCCTGCCCACTCCATCCCTCTTCTCTCCTCCAGCCTTCCTTCCACCTTACTTCCCTCTCCGCTGGCCCTCGTCCATCCAGAATCCATCCGAAAGGGAATGTGGAGGAATGCGTCCCCCCCATCCTCCCGCACCACCTCCATTCTCACAATCCCCACCGCCGCCCTCCGCCCCTCTTTCCTCCAGCCTCTTTCTGTCTTTATTCCCTCCACATTTGTCCCTTCCCCTCCTCTCCGGCCTCGCTTCCCTTTCAGCCACATCTCCGACCACATTCCACTAACGGAATTAAAGTCATGCATCACACTTAAAACCCTGCCAATGCATCCTGGGTAGACTTGTTGGAACTCATGTCCAAATTAGCTTTCCATTTTTAGTGCTGACCTCATGGCACGGCAGCCTGCTTGAAATACTCTTCAAACATTAAAAAAACATATTTCAGATATCAGATCCTGGCCACGTAGACAGTGGACGTTAGAGAAACTCCGAGTGGGAATCTTGTTTGCAGAAGTTCCCTGACAGCAGATAACGTTCATGTGGCAGATGCATTATGCAGTATTTACTCTAAAATGTTTGTCAACTTTGTTTCAGGAGTTTCTTTCTCATCTCTCTTTTTTTGAACAGCAGCTTATGAGCAAAGACAGTGCAGAGTCCTGAGGCTACAACTGTGGTCTCACTTTATGTCCATCAGGTGAAAAATATGCTGTAAAATATTATAAACAAGTAGTAAAATTTCCTCTCAGCAACAGAATAAAGCCTTTAAAAAAAACAACAAAAAAAACCCTTGCCTGTTTTTAGAAAGCTTACATACAAAATTACGGCTGCTTTGTCCTTAGCAAGTAGCATTGTCTGACATGCTGTCCTTCATTTGAAAACATCCAACTTAGTGATAAAGTTCCTAAAATAAATTATATTTTTGCTCGTATTCAAATGTATTAAATTGATCTATATGTGTTCAATTTTACATCAAACTTATATTTGATGGACAGGTTATTAATGCCACTTATTGATGTGATTATGCTGAAATTCTATAAAGAAAACAAAATAATAAAGAAAATGTTTTTTTTTCTCCCAAGCAGTTTTGACTCGATTCAGAGTTGATCTTCAAAGTAAATACTGACACGCTGGCGCACTTGGTTCTAACTGCATTGCCATTTAGCACAACAGAACAGAGATCTGCAGAGCAGTGGGCAACTTGGTGCTAATTGCCTTGCCCAGGGGTACAGAGACATGTGCCAGAGGAGGAAGCTGGAATCAGACCATCAACTTTGTGATTGTAAGACAACGATTCTTCCCGCAGCCAGTCCCTCCGAAAACGTGACTGATAGATTAAACACGTTTTTCGGACATGAGCTATAGGTGGATGTGGAACATTTGAGCAAACTCACAAAACATACTTGCAAAGCCAGCAAAAGCTAACAAGCTATAGCATAGCAATAATTATTAACATCAATATAATATGTTACTAAACATCAGGGCTTGTTAGTTATTGTTCTGTATTTTTGCTGTAAATAGTTGTGATGGAGATTGTTCAATGGCACAATGATTTTTGGCTGATTTTTGAAAGATTATGAGACTCATTTGTTTATGTTCGTATACATATTTATTTTAAAGTGGAATATCAATGCAACTGTAGGTTGGTTTGTCAGCAAGGACAAGTCTAGAGAGTTTGTAAAGCATATTTTACAAAACAGCTACTTTACGCAAAGGGCCGTAAAAAAGTAGGATAAAGAGAAAACTAACTCAAGAAATTAAAGATAAAATGGTCACAACAGATGAAGTTTGTAGCGGCAGCCACTTTCTGCTCTATTGGCCATTAACTGGGTGTAGATGAAGTGAACTACGGTCCAAGAACCTGATTAGTCTTAATTCTAATCGGGGGTGCTTTCTTGAAAACTGCCTCAGACAAGTCTGGTCAAATGTCCGAGGAGCAAAGGAGAAGCACAAATTAAGAACATTTCCTCTTTTATACTTGAGCAGAAAAATGTTTTCTTTTTCAAAACATTAGTGCAGATATAGAAAATTCATCAGCTTTGTTTCTTGTACGTCGATGAAATATTTTTAAAAGAATTAATAGAATTATGTTAAAAATCTGTTTTCTCCAAGCTGCTCCAGGATGTGAAGCACTACTGTGCTGGTTGTTACTGTTCTACTGACTTTACTCAAAAAAAAAAAAATGCAGTACAGATTGTTGTACGACATCCTACATGCCTCTGCAAAAAAAAAAAAAAAAAAAAAAACGTCTTAAGCTAACACGGATAGCGTTTGTTCAAATACTGCAATTAATTTTGATCAGACGAGGACCCACACTTAAACACACACAAACACACATTTCTAATTGTATTGTAGCTACATCGTTTCCCCTCAGTAATGGTAGCAATTAAATGGGCTGTATAATTACACTGTCCTCGTTATGTAGTTAATTTCTGTAATTACAATTTGCACCAATCGTATCCTCCCTTTCTGTATGTCATCTGCTTTCCTCTTTTTTCCTCTTTCAAACATATAACCCATAAATTAGATTGATACTCATGCACTGCTTTGAAAAGTATGCATTTTCATTTGCACATGTGGTGCTCCTGAAGCCATGTAAAGGAGCATGTTTGTAATTAAAATGGCTAAACTGAATAAATGACCAGCTGACCAAGAGAGAGATTCAAGCCAAAGAAAACATACTCAAAAGGATTTGCATTCTCTGTTAGCACAATTGTCTCTGTTTTTTTTTATTTTAGGAAAGAGACTGTGCAAACTTTCACAATTATGGAAGCAAAATTAGCAACTGCTCGCTGATAAATTAATTTATTCATCTCATAAAAAAGTGCTTGTAAATTATACAATTTTTTTGGTTGGAACTAACCAGAATTCATCCAAGGTCCAAAGGCTCCACAGGTTGCACATCTGGAAGGCCAGACTGCTGTTTTCGTTAGTGCTCGGCTTATTACTAATTTAATTCTGATGAGAAAGTTCTTGCAGAGAATTTAGCAAAAAATAAGCAATCAGATTTGATTACAGCGAGTTCACAACAGTCACAAACAAATTAACTAACAGATTTTCACTAATTCAGTATGGTGAAGTAAAAACTGTAAAAGTCTAGATTCGATCCCAATCATCTTCTTAGGGGGTCCAGTCAAAACAAATTGAAATGATCAGTACCAGGAATCTTTGACCTCTTCTGTAAACAGAGGAGTCTCCTTCCTAACAGTCAGAGTTGCAGCAACACGGTTGCTGGTTGGAGCTGCATGTTTTGGACTGCTTTTCTGGCTTGCACACAAGGATAAGCCACTTTGACCTTTTTACTGCCTTGGCTGCGAAATGTAACACATCGACTTTGACTCATCTTTATCCCTACACAAAGAATACATTAAATATGAAACAAAGGGGTATGACTGCATGTTCTGTTCTTGAGTTTGAGTTTTCTGGGTCAGGGGTCTGCAACTCCAGCCTTTGCATGCCGGAAGTTTTGTTTCCGTCAGATTGTCATGCAAACTTTTCAAATGTCAAAAACAGAACAAAATACGGAAGAAAGAAAATGCAAATAAGCTGTCTTTCCATTTACTGGTTTGGAGCGAATCCGCCAGGTTAAGCAGAGCATACATTTGTGTCAGAGGTTGATGATACGGTTAGGTGTAATGAGCAAGACGCAGAAGTTGTAAACTAGCATGAATCACACATCTCAGAAAAATGGAGAGTGCTCATCTAGAAAACATTGAGTGACATTTCTCACAGTTTTGTGTCTCTATGGGGCACAAACCCACCAGTGGAAGGTAAAGTTTGTTACGTCAGAACTTAATCGGTATATGTGTTTCCATTTTCCCTTTTGCACATCACCTTTTTATGAAAAAGCCTAAAACCACCTCGAGCAGCCATAAAAATATTTTTGCAAAATTGAGCAAGATCTTTACAATTTTGCCTGTACCATCAACTGTTCCTGAAATGCACATAAAATAAACGTAGATGGAAATGCATAGTGTCCTGTAACGTTTCCTGCTCTAACCATGAATCAAAGGGCTGAACTGCAGCACGTCAGCAAGCTTTGCAAAGTCCTGGTCATTTACCATTCATTTGATTCAGGTGTGTTGGAGACACATCCAAAAGTTGCTGGATAGTGACACTAGATGAACTAATAAATCCTTTCAGTTTCAAAACTCGCAACTGTAACACGACAGAGTCTGGTATTAATCTAGGTTTAATCTAGGTTTCTTGGTTTCTAACTTACCTTTGTTGCAGTTGTTGTCTCCCTCCAGCAGAGGGCTCCACGGTGGGTCTCCTTGACTAGCGAAAGTGCGCATGTGTAGATAGCTGATAGTCAGCCGAATGACTGACGCTTTGTCGAGCTGACTCGTGATGGCCCCTGGCAAAGGCAGCATCTTAGCCAGTTCAAAGAACTCAAAGTTCTCCTTTCCCCGTCGAGAACGAGCTGCATTGCGAGATTTCTCTTTACGCAGGTTCTGGAGACTGAGAAACAAACACGAGTGTATTACAAGTAGATTGAGTAAGAGACTAAAGAAAACACAATGGACAAATAAATGCATCAAGAGGAAAAAAAACATAAAAATGTATAAACTGACGTTCAAAATCAGAGCAACTAGCGTGAATATCTCTTTTTGTCCATTTATATTGTTTTCCAACCACATGGTTTGAGTTCTAGATCTGGTAGCATAAGGCTTTTCAACTCGTTGTCCATTAACACTTAGATTGGTTTCATTGTACACAAAAGCTGATAAGTGTGGTATGCATTTTAACAGGCTCTCAAAGTCAATTTACAGAATTCCCCTTTTCTGCAAATACAGCTGCAAGTGTTTAGCAATATGTCTACACCAGCTGTAAACATACTGTAGCGAGACTGAAATTATGATCAATTCTTCTTTGGAAAATAGCCTAAGCTCAGTAAATTGTATGCAGATTATCTGTGAACACGTCTTCCTGCAGAAATCCACTTGGTTTTAGGTCAGGACTTTGGGCAGCCATTCTAACACACACATTTACTTTAATCTGTCGTGCGTCTAGGGTTGTTCTCCAGCAAGAAAATGAACTTCAACCTCAATCTGTTTGACCACTTTCAAAGGCTTTCTTCAAGAATTGTCTTGCATTTAGCTTCCCATTAGCTCTGGCTGGCTTCTGTGTCCCTGATGAAGAAAAGAATCCCTCCAGCATAATGCAGCTACAGCAATCTTTCACCAATGGATGGACTGTTCAGGGTACTTTAAGCTATTATTTTCATCACATATAGTGCTTTACACTAACTTCTTCTTCCTGTTTGCACATTTATATAAGGATTATGGGAGTTGTTGTTTTCATTTTTGGATGATTGACTTTATCAGTTGCCCCTGTAGTGCACTTTGCTTCGTCCAGAGGGTCTGGGCTCTCGGCTGTTGAGAAACGATTGCCTCCTCGTGGCGTGGACTGTGTTGAGGTTTTAAATTTTATCCAATCGCTGATGTTTGTCTGTGACGTAGGTAATGCGCTCGAGGCCTGGTAGCTTACTGATGATGTAAAGTCAATATCATCTGCATGGTTTTGTTCACTCCATCTTGCTATTGCTAAAACTACAGTAGGACTGCAAGTCTAAAGCAGCGCAGAAAATGAATGTCATTTGAGTCAGATGTGCCATAAATTGACCACTTTTTTCTGATGTCTTCCAGTCTGTGTCAGTGTTTAGTTAGAGCAGTTGTTTTATGATACACACTGTGCATTATGGATCATTCAACACTTCCAGCCTGGTTGTGCAATATTCATTTTAAACCTGAAATAGTTCCCTGCAATACGAGTTTTAGCTAACAAAACACATTAAACTTTATAAAAGGATGTGATGAATCAGATTTTGACGTCAACCCTCATCAACCAACATTAGTTGTGAAAAAAAAAGTGTTGAAGAATCTTAAAGTTTTCCAAGGTTTCGGTTTAGGACAGGCACAAGTTTAATGAATGAATGAATCAGTATGTCCACATTTGTACTCAAAAAAAAATAATTAATACATAGAGTTTTATTGGATCCAGCTGCTGCAGAGAAACTATCACCTGAAGACGAGCCTGATAATTACAAACTCTCCTCTTCTTTTATCCACTCAACCAGAGTCCTAATAATACTATTTGCTCTAAAATCCATATGTGAACCTGTGCACACAATTTCTCCCCTGCCTATCGCTCCTTTCCCCTCCCTCCCTGCCTCCGTCTAAATCCTCTGCCTCTCCCTCATCTGGTCCCGGGCTAGTGAGCTGTAGCTGTGATTGAGGGATCAATAGTGGAGGGAGGGGCAGAGTGACAGAGAGCGGGGGGGTTGGGTGGAGGGAGCTGGGCCTCAGGTAGCCTGTCTCTGTGATTGGGTATTGACTCTCCTCAATGGGGCCTGAGTGGTGGAATTATGTTGTCACAGCCACTTCACAATTTGTGTCAGTGCAGCGCTGGAATAAAGTGTTTGTGTGTACACGGGCGTGATACTCTCTTCTGTGTCTATGGGGTTTTCGCGCCCAGATTTCCAGCGTGCGTGTGCAATAAAAAGTGTGTTAAATCTGTGTGTGCAGATATGGTTATATCTTAATCAGGTGGCACAGCTGCTGTATTTTTCGCCCGCCCTAACAAGTGAAATCGGTGTGTCTCCCTGCGAGTGTGTGTGGACTCATGCTGCCAGCCCGTGTAACATCTCATTATTATACTGCCTCGACCCCAGCCACCGAGAACAATCAATACGCACACATTGATTCTGCTTAGTTTTTATATCCGCCTGTAAATGACTGCCCATTAATAATTCCTGCCAAATTTACTTAATCTCCTTTAAGGGGAAGGTGCAGGGGGTCCCGTGTCTGACAGGACTGGCAGGTGAGCACCAGCGCAGGTGAAATGTGGCGCTGAGCAGAATAGACTTACGTCTTCTGTATTGTGTTTCACTGAAGGGGAACTCTTTATCAGGCTGTCAGTATGTGCAAGGGTGTCAACCCATGGATTTCACCTTGTGGAGATTAATTCATGGGCATGCTCCCAGGCTTATATTGGTCTGTGTGGGTGTGTATGCGTGTTTATACGTGTGTGTGTGTGTGTTAGCATTTCTCGTCTTGCAAAGCCCATTTGTCCGACAAATACTTACATTGCGAGGTGCTGTTTTTGGGTTGGGGGTGAGGTTTATGACTCGGGTGCAAATTAAGTTTAGGTGATGTTTGGGGCTTGGGCCAGGGTTGGGCTACAGAAATTAATTAAAAATTAGTGGAAGTCAATGCAAAGTCCTTCACTGCAAAAACACAATATATTACTGAGTACTTCTGGTCCAGTTTCTGGACAAATAGCTTGAGACACTTAAATTGAGACAAAACTAACTTACAAGTAACTTTTCTGCAAAATATAGGAGTTTGTTTTTAGTCAATAATTTCTTAATGAAGATGAAAAAGTACTAGTTATGAGCCAGTCGAACATATAATAAGAAAAATAATCTGCCAGTTGAACTAATACTTTCTCATCTATATAAAAAGATATCGACTTAAAACAAGCAACAAAAGCACTTCTTTTCAGAAGTGACTTCTGAAAAGTTACTTCTAAATTAGTTTTATCTTATTTCAAATCTACATATATAACTGCAGTAGAAACTGAAACGCTTGGTGAGATCTTATGCTTTTGCAGAGAGTGAAGATAGAAATATATAGATAGAGCTGCTATGTGTGTGTTAGTGAGAGTTGGAGGATCTTACCAGGGTAGCGTAGGAGGTTTGGCGAGAAGTCCTTGAAGGAAATCCCACTCCACACTCACACATTTCCCCTCGCTGACAAACGGCATGCTCGCCATGCTTGCTCCAATCCAGCGCCTGGCGCTGCTCCTTAACGAAGGCTGCGATCGGTTCGGATTGCGACAGACTCAGACCTGGAAACGGGTCAAATGTAAGAAGTAAATGAACCAGGTGCCCTTGGTTCAGTCATCGATATTTGCCATAAAATCCTCATGATCTACTTAAAGTTTATGAGCAGAGAGCACACGTTCGAGTTTGAGGATCTGAAATGTATTACATACTGTAAGCTTTTGTGTTTTTGTCTAAAAATGCAAAAGTACTGAAATTACTCCAAATCAGTATCAATCCAGGGAAGAGCTGACACTTACTTGGATCTTTTGGCATGTTACGAATAACAAAAACATATATTTTGTCTTAATTATTATTGCTGAGTCTACAGAAAATACTCAAAATAACACTTTGACAGACGTGGAGGTTGGATTTTTGCACCTACATGGTGATTCCCGAAGGACTCTTTGCTGGAAACTTGGCATACAGTAGATGGATGAAGTGAAGGGCCAGGTGCATGTCTTAGGTCCTGTCTCAGGTCTTCACTATATTTTTTCCCAGATATTCCTTCGGGAAATCTTTTTAAAATACAGTTCGTCTGCTGCAGACAATCTTTTCTAGGCCTGATGTTTTCCCCTTTTTCTTTTCTTTTCTTTTTTTTGGGGGGGGGTTATTTTTCCTGGAAGTTATTGCAAGATCTCCCAAGATTCGTCATGTTTGCATTAACTATTTCAAAGGGGACCTCTTATGCAAAATGTTTATTTTTGCATATTCTTGTACTTTTATTTGGGTCTTTAGTGCTACTGGAAAGAGTCACAGCACCAAACAGGATCTGAGAAATGTTAGCAAACAAAGGTGACGAACATGTCTTGTTCAGTGAATAGACCTATCCTAATTTGTTCACAGAAACATAACAGGTTTTCTTTAAGATGTTCAAGAACTTGACTGCACATCTGTACATTTAAACAAACAAACAGGCTGAAACAATGTCAGAAGGCTTGTGCAACAAATGACATAACAAAAAAGAGAACTTTGTCTTTACTTTTGGAAATATTCTATCAAAATACATGTATTTTCATTTTTTTTCTCAAAAAGCACAGTGGCTATATCGACTTGAAGCGATACTTTATTCATGTACACATGCTTGTGTCTAATCAGCTAATAAACATCTGAAGGTTATGGGCAGCCGGTCGACAAAACTTCTTACAGTTTACAATTGATCAGTGATTAGAGATGGGTTTTACTCTCATCAGTTCTAGCTGTTGTTCTGGAAGTGGAATAATAAAATGAACATTTATTTTCCACATTTTTATCAAATGCAATCGGAAAACGAACACATACTTTATTCGCTCTGTGTTTGGATCTTCATGCAGAATGTTCTTGGTGTTTTGAATTTTATAAACATCAGATAAAGGGTATTGTCATTTGATGGAAATGATGTATGGGGATAATCTTGGACAAGAAAGAGAGAACGAGAGATAAAAAGAGGAAAAAAAAGAGAGAGACAGAAATGTAACAGTTGCACATTGCATAAACTATAAACGATGTTTTTGTCTATGCTTAAGAAAATTTATCTCCACACTAGGATGCTACCACCACCATGTTTCCCATCATTATGGTGCGTTCAGGGTAAAGTCTGGTGTTGGTTTTCTGCTACACGTAGCATTTTGCATGTAGGCCAACACACTCTTATCTGACGAGAGCACCTTCTTCCATGTGTTTGCCCTTTTTCCTGGCTCATGACAAAGTGAAAATTGGACTTATTGTCTTTCTTTCAAAAATAGATTTTGTCTTCAACTCTTTTCCACAGTTTTAATTGTAAAAAAACGTGGCCAAAAAAGCATAATTTTCCTCCCACTTCACATTTACGCACCACTTTGTGTTGATTTATCAACTCTAAAGGAAAATAGAATAGGTATACATTTCCAAAGCGACAAAAGCGTTCACAAATATGCATAGAATGACCTCACTAAATGCCCCATTCACAGAAAAAAAGTTTCCAAACTAGTGACTGTGGTTTCAACCACATATCTCTACGGACAAAACACATTGTCCACTTCCTCCGTTTGCTGTATTGTGCCAACGTTCAAAACTTCTGTCACAGAATCTGACAGTTTTCTCCGCGGTCCTCAAACACCGCTCTGCTCCTCAAAAGTTGGCCTCCCCTCTGTGCTGTGTTGACATTTAAAGGGCTGCTGTGGCCCCCAGCACCTCGGTGTCATGCCCTTGGGCCTCACATGCCCCCTCTCTCTCTCGTTCTCTCTCTCTCGTTCTCTCTCTCTCTCTGCCTCTATCTCCCTCTTCCTTCAGGCTGGCTGGGTCAGCACAATCACGCCAGTAGAGCTTTGCCAGGGCAAAGGAAAATGGATTATGTCTTGAGTTCAAGCATGGCTATGCTGACCTCGGCTAAGAGGGGTCAGCAGAAGCCGGGCAGGTTTGGCAGATATCATGTCACAAATCTGACCTTAAGCAGCCAACATTAAATGCAAGCGAGAAATCTGCTTGGACAGATTTCAAAGGCAGACAAGTCAATAATCAGTTTCACAAAGAAAGACAGAGATGGGGTCATCTTTCATTGTTTTATTCTGTCTTTAAGCAGCTAAAGCGGAGAGCAGAAAAGTAGGATGTGCTGTTTCTAACACGATCCGAGGTCAGCCATGTAAAAGCTGGCCTTTGTGGGCACAGATGTTGCATGCATTCACATGAATATTTAAAATCTTCAGCGTATGAACGACATACAGTAACAGAGCTTAATAATCCACAAAATACAGAGAGAAGTGAACTACCTGAGCGGGGTATTCAGTTTTTCCTGACTTTAGTTTGGTTATTTCACATTGAAGAGACCTGCTGTGTATGAAAACGTTGCATAATAAACCTGCATATCTGTGGCACACAACTACACATAAGAAAAGAGAAATGGCAACATCTAGATAATGGAGAAACTTCTGGAGTTCATTGGGGTGGCATGCCCCTCCTCTACTTGTTGCTGTGCACTGGCACCCAGCTGGCAGGAACAACAATCTTACACGTTTAGCTCTTTGTGAGAAAGAAAGAATTAGTAGTTTGCAAATGTTTCTGGCTCCACCACCAATCACTCCAACTGATGGGTGGAGGGACTGCAGGCTGACTACCACAGCAGATAGCTCAACCAATTAACCAGCTGATTAGAGCTAAGTTACTCTGTGAAGAGCAGAATCACAAAAAGATGTGAAAACGACTAGCAAATTAAGCTGATCAGTATTATACATTGAGCTTTTTTTGTAAATAATATGAAACTGTTAATTTCACCATTAGCATCCAGAGAAAATCTCATAACGTCTAGTACCTGTTGTAATTTAAACTAATAATTAATTCAAGTTTCGAAAATCATGAAAAAGCTCTGCAAAGTAATCGCGATATTCTTCAGATATTTTTGAAGTTGAATGATAATTGATTGGTGTTTGTGCTGTTTCTCTTTGAAATTACATTCAGTATCTTGTAAAAAATTTATAAAATTTAATTGTGTCCGGTTCAGAACCAAGGTATACTAAGGCTTTGAAAAGCCGACTGAAATGCCTTTCGGTGAGTTGCCAAAAAGAGAGGCAGACCGACCAGATCAAGTTTTCTACAACTTTGTGGAGTTTACAGTGAGGAAGCCGTCATCTGCTGCTGGGTCCTGCCAGTGCTTCACTATTCCCTCGCTTACAAGAAAAACTCAATTTTACTGTTTGGAAAAAATGTGACAATGATAAAAACAGAGATAGGCATAGACTAGAAGCTAAAGCAGTGAAACCAATCACTCCTATTATACCTCAGTTGATAACATCTTGGCATGCTTGCAAAGTTTTAGAAAATAAAATGAAATGTTCTGCACAATAAACACTGGAAATTAACTTACTCGATTGATTTAGTGTTTGATCCCACATTTTTTGGTTGGTTCTAAGGCATAAAAAGTACTATAAACCAATTTCACAATGGCCTATGTCATGTTGGTACAATTGTTTGATAAACGTGGTTCATTTTCCAGCCTGATGTTAAGCCCCTTTCCAAAGTATTCCCACTGCCATCATATTCATTCACCTACAGCGAACCTATATATTTTAATCCCATAAGTGGAAAGCCGACAAATCTCTTCCTTGGGAATCTGGGAGAGTCGACAGGGTCAAGCGGTGGGCAGGGCACCTCTGTCTAACAACTTCACCTTTGTCACCTTTTCTGCCTCACCTGGATAAATGCTCTTCATGCCAAATTAGGCTGTGTGGGGCTGGACGGAGGGATCAAAAGGAGACACAGACAGGAAACCGTTTTCACAGCCTCACGCTCACACACACACACACATACGCAGCCAGCCTCGAGCCCATACCTGTGTGTTTATCTCTTAATTGACCCTATCTGTGCTTATCTAATCTGCCCTCCCCATCTTTCTGTCTCAAACTATCTGCGCATCTCTCACTGAGTCTGCCTCTATCTGAGCGGACACGGGGCCGTAATGGACAGGAGCCTCCACAGTAATTATTCAATCAGCCTCATAACCTTGTCGCAGGTTGGGCGGCCCATTAATGCACTCGCTCAAATGGACCCCGCCACATTGACTGCTAATGCTCAGGCTAGCCGTTGCAGCACAACAGGCTGAATGTCAGACATGTCATCCAGCTAGACGGCGTGTGAAAGCCCCCCCCAATGGAGCCGGGCTGCTTTACTCTGCCGCTGCGCAGCAGGAAACATATAGGTCAAGCAAGGTGCGATTCCTGTAACCACCAGGAGTAAAAAAAATATATACATACTGTGTTCACAGCTGTGGAGATCAACTTCCATCAAGTGTGACCGCAGGTGCTCGAAATGTGTTGCTGCTGTGCTATATACTTGTTAGTATTGCGTATGTGTGTATATGTGAGGGTGCCTTTGAGACCCCCGCCCTATAAAGTCATGCTCTCTTGGCAAAGTGTCAACAGCAACAGAGAGGAGCGCACCGCGAGCGAACGCTCGCTCGCAAGCCGCTCTTTGCTGCCCGCTTGGCTCCGGCTCTGTTTATTTTCAGCTGGGACGTTTAATTAGGGCCTCCAGCTGTCAGAGGTTCGTTAGCGCGCCCCTCCTCTTCCCCAAGCTG